TTTTTTGCAAGTTTGGCAAGTGTTCAAACTTAACAACTTTTTTCACCATAGAAACAACTCATGATGAAAAGGTGGATTCAGTTCGCAAAAAACAAAGTATTGCAATTTGATCATATGTAACTAACTGTAGAGAGTTCACATTAGAACATATCAAATTTTCATGCCATTTGAATGATTTTTCGCAGTTCTATGAACATTTGAATTTAGAACTTTTTTTTGGAGATTTCAAAATTTTCGCAAACTTTTGACCGGTAGTGTATATATATATATATATATATATGGGGGATTCTTTCTAAACATAACCGTGCGAACCAAAAAATTCTTCAAATTTAAAGTCGTCAAAATAATCTAAAATATTTTTTGTATACTTCTTTAGTTACACTTATTAATATCTTACAGGCAGCAGTGTAGTTTATTGACATTTACTGGAGAGAAAAAATAAAATAGAAATTTACCAAATCTTAAATGCCAGGAAAATGACATATTAGCTTAGTTTAAAAATCAGTCATTTGAAGTTAATAGTAAGTAACTAAACTTAGGCCTTTATATTAAATGGACCATAAACTGCTTAAATTATTTCTTTTTATCCTCTGTAGAAAGAATCAAAATTTTTTTGTTCTTGATATGTACAGAATAAAATTGTGTATAATAATCAATCATTAGATAAATAAATAACTTTGATTGCACTCAAGCATATTACAATCATACATAAACTTGGTATTAGGTTAATATTTGCTTTCCCTCCTTACAGTATTAGCAGTTCAAAAAATTTCTGGTAACACTTCAATGTTCTGGCAATCATAAGCCAGGAAAATGACAGACAGGATAATGACAAAATCGCCATTTCATAGCATATAACCTTACTTTAATTTAATATTTTTGCCTAAGACGTTTATATTCTGCAGAAAACAACAGGATTTCTTAAAATAACTCAGATAAATCTATGTAGTTAATGTTTTTAATGATTTCAAGAAGCCAGGAAAATGACAACACAAAAACCTACTCATCTTGAAAAATTTTTTAAAGTAGATTTTGAACCAGAAAATTGGTTCTTTATTCATGCAACAAGACATGTTCATATAGGATGGTATCTAATCACTCAATTAACATAAGATATTGATTGCTGGCTCTATCTATTTTAGTTATAAACCACTGAATAAAAATAGCCAGGAAAATGACAGATTTTCTTGGGACAAACAAATTATTGACAGAAAAAATTATTTTAAAAGAAGTTTTTGTAAATAATATCCTCGGTGTATATTCTAGAAATGCTTACACCGGTTGAGGTAAAAAAAAATTTGATGTTAAAAAATTTATGGGAAGTTCTGAAGCTAGTTATTATTGGAAACATTGTTTGGGACATACCAAGAAAATGACATTTTGAAGTTCAATTGAATTTTTTAACTATACAAAACAGTCAATGCTAATGCAAAGTCATTTTAAAATGCTAACAGAAATGCTATTTATTAATTTTTTAAATAAAAGTTCTTTTGGTATTATCGTATTAGATCTTGGAGTAAGGGACAGTGAATTGTCATATTTTGTGAGAATCACCCATATACATATATATATATATTATAAATTTTAATGCAATGTGCTTTTAAATGCATTCCTAATATTTGCTTTGTATTGATCACGCTTTTAAAATTCTTTTTAAGAACTGAAAGTGTTAATTTTTCTTAATTGTAATTTTTTTTCATACTTAGTAGTAAAAAATAATATAAGTGTAAAGACACTTGATTATGTTTGGAGGGTGTATGTATATATTGTGTAATCAAGCATTTAAAGGGAAAAAAACATTATCAGGACCTGACGAAATCATTAAAAAGGAAAGAGAGATTAAAAACAGCAATTTAATTGCTGGTAGAACCTAAAAGATGATTATATAACCCGTAATAAAGTTGGTTTTGATGTTTTAAATACTTTCTTCCTTAACCTTGCCTTTTTTAACACTTAATTCATGATAAAATTTCATATTAGTTTTACCCTTTGCTCGACTTTTAATTTGATGCTGCTATGTTTTTCGTGAATAATTTAAAAACAAATATTGTTGATTATTTCAGCATTGGAACGGACATCAGAATCGCGTTTTTAACTTCTAGTTTTTTATAATTTGTTTGATAAAATTATTAATGAAGTGTGTCTTTTGTTAGAACGGGACTTCAGGAATGGCCAATAATGTGCCATGGTTCAGCCTCTTGACAATGGTCACTATTTCTGCTACCCTATCCTTCATGGCTGACGGTAAGCGACTATTTTTATACTGAAATAATTATTTATTTATGTATATTTATTAATGTATAATTTACTAATATATTAAGCTATATGTATTTGTCAATGGTCCAAAAAAACAGTCAAGGAATATCGTCGCTACATGTGAGTAGTTCAACATAACACCTTAGACGCATTGAAGAGAACAATAGCTAATTATACTCCATTGCTAAGCAACCAAATTCAGACACTAAAAGAAATGTAAAAACATTTTGCGAAGTTTATTTATGAATAGTTAATAGAAAAATATCTCAGGCAAATAGAAATTTTGTGATCTGTTTTCTGACCAAAAAGCAAAGATTGTTTTCTTCTTAATCTCATTTGAAAAGAAAATTAGAATCGATTTGTAAATGACTTATGATTTTTCCAAGCTTTTAGAATTTAAACGTGTGAACTTTTTATCTGACATTATTTGTATTTTTAAAGTTGTTTTTACTTTATTTGTATGAGGATTTCATACTGAAATCAAATTTACTTATTTCATTATAATTATATAAAAAATTTTAAGGATAATCATTTTTAGCTTTGAATATAGATAGAAAATAGGAAGATGAAAATAAATGTCCTTATGTCCCGAGCACTCAAAAATAAGTACCCTTCCTTAAAACTTGACAAGCGTTAATGACTTGTGACGTCAATTTTTAAACGTTCACAATAAGACTACTCTTATTGTCCATTTTTTATGAAGTCAGTGCAGTTTTTATCTTTTCTCCTTAGTTTCTTGGGATTATTTATTTAGTAACACGGAATATTAAATTAATTCCCGCTCTATTAAACTAAGCTTTATGCAAGATAATGGCTCTTAGATTAAAAGAAAACAAACAATTCAGCATTTTTTAAGGATGTCAAAGAAAGAATCCGTTTGTAATTGACATTACAGAAGTCGAATGAGAATGTCCCACCAGAAATTGAAGTTAAATAATTACAAGGACAGTTCTTTCAAACAAGTTTCCGTCCTATTCGAAATTGTTTGAAAATGAATTTTTTATTTATAGATTCTAAAATTTATTTTATGCATATTTTAGAGCATATCATAGGCGTACTTCCATAGAGTTTATTTCTATGCCTCTACTTTATTAAAATGATTAAATAATTTGCTGAAAATAAATTATTCAAGCTATATGATTTGTTGCATCCATAGTAGAATAGTAAACGGAGCTTCCAACTTAAATCCTTATCCTTAAAACCGCTTTCAACACGCTAATGGAATAAGCTTAAATAAATAGTAATAGTTAAATTGTTTGTTATTGTTTCGTTCAAACAGATTTCAATTCTGGAAATAACGAAATTATTGAGAAGGCTCCTTCTGATAATATTATTCTTATTCTCTTATGAGAAAATATAGGAATATTTTGTATTCATAATTTCTGTGAAAAGTATGTTAACCCTCTCGCTGCGAATTTCTTTTATTACTCTTTTTATTTTCCTTTTTATGCGCTTTAACCGAGTTTTTCGGTTATCCTAGTGGAGTCACATAAACTCGGAAATAATAGGGACTCTCATTTAAACTACAGAAGGCAAACCAGAAATGAACCATAACCCATTGGTGAAAAAAATTGAAAACGTCAAAATTCAAACAAATTATTAGAACGTTGCATTCATTTCACCAGATAATTTATTTTCATTTCGAAATACAGTCAAACCTCGCTATAGTGAACCTTCAAGAGACAGAAATTTCAGTTCACTATAACCGGGAGTTCACTATAGCGGGAGTTGATTGCATTTCTTTTTAGTAAGGTTTGTCTTTTTTTTCTATCATCCAAATTACTTGTGGAGGTGTGAAGGAAAATTTGCGTCCTATATATTTGTAATAAAATATATTACTATTCATTTGCAACTATGCTTAACTACAAATTTTTTTTTAGTTTTTCTGTTTACAGTATGCTGTTTTTAAATGAGCAAAAAAATGATAGAAGCATCCAATCCAATCTTCATTTGTTTATCGGCAGAGAGTAACGGGAATGTATAAGTAGATTTCTATTTCGAATAAATGTCGGTCTTTTGTTTTGTAGCAAACCCGTTACAAGCGGAAGCAACAGTTCAATCACCAAATATGTGATTGCTCTGGATGAACACGACAGAACTCTTTTGAAATAAGACTGCATTTAGAATGGAGCGACTGACTTAATCCTTAGTTTTGAAATGCTTAGGATGCATTTTTACTAACCTATTTCTTAAATAGACAGATTCTTTTGTGCTGAAGTATTTAATTTAGATATACTTTAGAGTCAAATTAAATTTTTGGCAATAAAATATTTTTAAACATAATGGTTTGAAGCGAATATCAAAATTCTACAAAAAATTTTCTAAAATTATTTATTCTGACAGCTCGTTCAGGATGAAGGTTTACTTAAATGCTATTTTTCTAACAAATTTAGCTTCAATACACNCGAATTTGTGTCCACAAAAAATTTTCTAAAATTATTTATTCTGACAGCTCGTTCAGGATGAAGGTTTACTTAAATGCTATTTTTCTAACAAATTTAGCTTCAATACACTCAGTATCGTAAGATGAATAATTTCTGTTTTGAGAAAACAGTAAAGGAAGGCAGACTACATTATTTACATTAAAAAAAAACGTCCGTTTTTTTTTAGCAATAAGGCAAAAACAATTGTGAAAAAAAAATTTTTTTTATCCTATCTCAGATAGTGAATTGATCTAAAAAGATTTTGGGCTTCTATTGCATGTAAAAGTCTGCGTGTCTTAGTGATCACTCTTGTTGGTCATACTAGAGCTTCTGAATGGGCTATGGGTGACGATCTGGAAAACATCCCTGAGGATCCAATCACCTGCCATCGTAATTTTGATCCTCTGCAGAGGGGATGGCTCCTCTATTTTGGTAGCCCGATGAGTTGCGAGTGAAGTTACGGTAGAATAGTTAAACGAGAACCGCGATCCCTACTCAGGCTGGTTAAAGTGTTCACCCATCTACTTACTAACCATCAGTGATACTTTATTTCGGTGTTCTACTGGGTCCACTCTTGTGTCTGACTGCTCATTCTGCAGAAGACCGGAGGTACAACCATTATTCTACTCATTTATCTAAATTTTAGAGCTACATGTTCCAGAATTTCGGGTCCCGCAGTGGACTGATCGTTAAGACACGGTTCCCAGCGGATCACCGAAGTCAAGTATCACTGGCTGCGGTCAGTGTGCGGGTGGGTGACCACTTGGATCAGTCTGCGTAGAGACCGAGGGTGTGCAGTATGGGTCCTCGTTGAACTGTGTTACCGTGAAGTGCTCGACTTCGCGCGCAGGTCGTCGGGCTACCGAAGCGGGGGTGCCATCCCCTCCGCAGAGGATCAAAATTGTGATGGCATGTCTTCGGATCATCCTCCGGGATGTTTCAAAGACCGTCGCCAATAGCCCATTGTGCAGCTCTAGTGCGACGTAAATTAACAACAACAGCAGAATTTCGGATTATTTTACTATGCATGAATCCCAGACTGTTACCAATAACCTAAAAAGTTAGCTTTAGTGCGATGTGAACAATTAAACCAAACCACGGTTTGGTTTAATTATCAAACATACGCTCTATATTATTATTGTGAGAAAAGAAAACAATAATTTGACCTTTCACACCTTTAAGTTCTCTACATTGACTACAGACTGACTATCGCACAGAACGGGCGAGATGCATCCTGCAAATGCAAAATCTCGCTTGTTAGCACAATAGTGAGTGATTGTGTTAACTCAAATGGGGAAACGTTAAATATTTCATTAATAAATACAGTACATCAAACAACTGAAAACTATTACTTAACAAAATAGGGTACAACATCACCGAAAACAGCAACATTCATTTCCTGGCTAAATTATCAGGCGCCCTATTAGATTCCATGTAAAATCTCAACTATTAGATGATACTGCACGGCTTTATTGTTTTTTACGCGACTGAAACCGGTTTGCACTTGTTTACGCTCGTGTATCAATGGGTTAACATTGTAATGCAATACGTTAATCATAAATACCTATAGGAAGTACATAAAAAATCACTTGAATAAAAATCCAGGACATGTATGTTTAAATATAAAAGTATTGCCTATATACTCGTGCAAAACATGTAACTATTAAAAAACTGCGGTGTGTCTAATCAGTGGGTCTAACTATTATAATATACTAATACCTGATATAATAAATATTCCTCGTCCAATTTATCCAATCGTTGATTAACAAACTGATGCACGAATTGAAACAAGTATAAATCGCGTAAAAAGCAGCAAAATATCACCTGATAATTAAAATGTTATATTGATTCTTAGTTGCTGTTGTAGTTCATTTACGTCACACTAGAGCTGCACAATGGGCTATTGGCGACGGTCTGGGAAACATCCCTGATGATGATCCGAAGACATGCCATCACAATTTTGATCATCTGCAGAGGGGATGGCACCTCCGATTCCGTAGCCCGACGACCTGCACGAGCACTTTACGGTAGCACAGTTTAACGAGGACCCATACCGCACACCCTCGGTCCCTACGCAGACTGATCCAAGTGGGTCACCCACCCGCACACTGACCGCAGCCAGTGATGCTTGACTTCGGTGATCTGCTGGGAACCGTGTCTTAATGATGAGTCCACTGCGGGACACATTGATTCTTAGAGTGCGTCTCATAGTTTGGCCAACGACTGTAGTGATCTGCTTTCAACAAAGCATGTCTTATACACAGATGATGACGTGTCACTTAATGATAAGAGAATATCTGTTGTTCTTTCAGCTCAAGACTGTTTCGGAGGCATTGAAACGTTCGAAAAGATGGTTTCCATGAGCTTCAGCGGTGTTGTTTCCTACAAGTCTATGTTGCAGCAACCGGGTCAAGCTATTACAAGGGACTGCATCAACCTCTGCAAGCAGCAGGCAGCCTGTCTCTCATTTTCACTCAACTACACTTCATCATCCTGCATCTCTTACAACGTCAATTCAGTTGGAAGGGGTGGAGACATTCATTACTCAAAAGCGGTCAACTTTTACGAAAAAATTTGCTTCAGGGGAGGTAAGTACACACTTTTTAATATTATAACCGTCGTTGAACAGCCGACCCAATTTTGGGTTTACGATGTTCAACTCCGTAGCCTTGTAATCTTGTACCCAAACCAGACGACAAGGGAACTCCTGGATCAGTCACCTACTGTGGTATGATCTGTTATGGGGACACGGAGGACCTTGTGACTTGACAGATTTAACGTGCTTCAGTCACCATTTACTAGTCTTCGGCTGATGGGGATTGAACCCACGACCTGTTGGGCATGGGCCCAGTGCCCAACCAGGCCCTTGTCTTCTGGATTGAGTTCAAAAATGCAAGGCTACGGAGTTGAACATTAGTAATCGTGAACCCATAAAATTGGGTCGGCTGTTTAACGACGGTTATGAAATAAAATAAAATATGTTAATTAATTAGGGGCCGGGATGGCCTGGTTGGTAGGGCACTGGACCCATGTCCAAGTCGATCATCGCCGGCTAAAGACTCCCTGTGTAGTAAATGGTGACTGATGCACGCTAAATCTGTCGAGTAGCAAAAGCCTTCATGTTCCCATCACAAATCAATACCTCTGGAGGTACTGATCCTGGAGTTTCCTTGTCTTCTGGATTGGTATAAAATGACAAGGCTACGGAGTTGAACAATAGTAGTCGTAAACCCAATATCGGGTCGACTGTTTAACGACGGATATATATATATATGTTATTATATTATAACCAGCGTTGAACGGCTGACCCAATTGTGAGTTTACGACTACCAATGTTCAACTCCGTAACCTTGTCATTTTAAACCCAATCCGGAACACAAGGGAACTACCAGATTAAGCTTTAAGAGAAGCTAGTCTTCGTGTAGGACTTTTTAATGGAACTAAACCCCATTTTCATTAAATTGAGAGGAAAGCCACGAAAGCATCTCACGGTTAGTCCGACAGCAAGGGGACTTAAACCCGTGATCCGTCTACCATTAGGGATATTTGACGTCAGCACTGTGGTCAGTGCGAGCCACGAGCATGATGCATATCGACTAGTAATCGCTGAATTCGAATTTGTGTCCCTTCCTTTGGATTCGAGCTGTTGACGCAATTTGGAAGACATCCTCCCAATAGTTTAGTCGCCTCAATGTAAATTTTTCTATTTTGCTCAGAAAGTTTATAAGAGAATATTTCGTGTAGTCTAAAGTCAATTCCACACACTGCCTATTTCTACCCAAAAATTAACTACTTTACGTCAAAAATAGTTTAAGGAAAAGGTGTAATTAAACACCAAGAATATTCTGTAGTGAAATGTCTCTTTTGGTTTGACACCACTTTTGATAACTCGTGATATAAAAACCTGGCAATAAGTTACTTAAAAATCCAATGACGATACAATTTACAGCAAAAACTGTTAATGAAGCGAATTCTTGAAATAAAATGTTTATCGACTCAACATTGAATGGAACATCTACTCGTCATAACATAAAACTCGTCATAACTCGTCGAACATAGTCATCTACTGAAGTTCAAAAACACATATTTTGTAACTTGTAGTAGATGACACTGGATGTTAATACAAATTTTTCAAATATAAATTCATTCTTTAAATTTAATTCATTAATTTTAGTTTCATATGAGAGAAGAAAAATTTCGTTTATGTAAGATATTTTACAGGATAAAAATTTAGGAACAAATATCGTCAGTGGCGAAGTGTGTAGAATTTTTTTTTTCAGATTCCTTTTTTCATTCTAGGTTTTATAGTCTGAGTCTAGGAAGGAACAAAACAAAAACTGTGAATAAATTAGTGTGTGAGAGAGAGAATTTTGCTTCGCAATCATATTAATTGTAATTATTTAATAAAAAGTAACTAAAATAAAATTTTTCCTTGTTGATCTAAGTAATTTTTTATATTACTTTTTCTTCGGTCTATTGTGTTAGTGAAGAGAACCTATTCTTGTTTCCATAGCAGCAGACAGCCTCAGACTTTGTGGAAGTTCAACAAACTATTTTATGGCAGTGAACTTCTGTTTCTGTAGAATGCTTAGCAGCGTGACTTCTCGTGCTCGATAGTAAACAATCTATCGTTTCCATTTGACAATTTCAAAACACGGTCAAAATTGGCATTTTATAAAGCATTGTGTTATTGGGCTTGGTGAAAGCATTCATTCTTTTTATAGTCTAGACTTATACTTTGAAGTGTATATGAGAGCTCGTTTTGATGCTATTCATCCTTACTATTTTTGGAGACACCCTGCTTTTGCAGTGTGCAAAGAAAATATTTTTTTAAAATTATGAATTTTATGATTCTATTCGCTAACGATAAAAGAAAAACATTTAAATTATGAGTTATACAGTAAAACTTGTGTAAATATACTAATACCTGATA